GGAAATCGGAGGGAGAGATGAACCATGAGAGACTATGGACTCTGAGAAACAAACTGAGGGTTCTAGAGGGGAGGGAGGTGGGGGGATGGGTTAGCCTGGGATGGGTATTAAAGAGGGCACGTATTGAATGGAGCACAGGGTGTTATACACAAATAATGAATCATGGAACACTACATCAAAAACTAATGATGTAATGTATGGTGATTAACAAAAAGTTGCTCAACCCCATTAGCCATTAGAGAAATGCAAAACAAAACCATAATAAGGTTTCACACCCATTAAGGTGGCCATTGTTAAAAAGGTAGACAAGTATAGACCAAACGTGCCAAGGATGGACAGAAACTGGAACCTTCATACTTTCCAGTGGGAATGTAAAATTGTATCACTATTGTAGAGAAAAGTTTGGCAGTTACTTAATAAATTAAACACACTATATCCTAGCAACATAGCAAGTTACAATGCAAAGCATTGTACAAACATAGCAAAGTTACTTCACAATTCCACCTCTGAATACACACCCAAAAGAATTGAAAACAAGTATTCTAACAAAAACTTGTGCATGAATGTGGATAGTAGCACTATTCACAATAGCCAAGAGTTGGAAACAACCCAAATGTCTATCAAATGATGGAGGGATAAACAAAATGCAATATGTCCATATAATGGAGTATTAATTGGACATAAAAAGAAAATTCTGATGCATGGTGCAACATGGATGAACCTTGAAAACATTATGCTAATGAAGGGAGGCAGCCACAAAGATCACACGTTATATGATCTTATCTGTATGAAGAGTCCAGAAGAGGCAAATCTATTAAGACAGAAAGAGGATTGGTGGTTGCTTAGGGCTAAAGAAAGTGGGAAGTGATAGTAAAAAAGTAAAGGATTTCTGTGTTGACAATATTCCAACAGTTGACTGCAGTAAACATTACACATATCTTTGAATGCACCAAGCAGAGTTCAGTTTCATTGAGTTATAACTGACATACAGTAATACAGTATTGTGTAAGATAAGGTGTACTGCATGTACTTGACATACATATATAAAAAATGATTACCACAATAAGATTAGTTACCATCTATCTAGTTATACCATCTATCTAGATATATATATATATCTACCATCTATCTAGTTACCATCTCATATAGTTATAAAAACAAAATTTTCTGCCAGTATGATGAGAACTTCTACAATCTACTCTCTTAGCAACTTATGAATACATCATACAGTGGTGTTAACTAGAGTCATCATGTTGTATTTACCAGTCCAGTACTCCTCTATCTTGTAATTGAAAGTGTATACCTTTGGTCACCTTCATTCAAGTACCACCCCACAACCCCTGCCTCTGATAACCACAAAGCTGATCTCCTTTTTGTATGACTCGTTTTCTTATATTGTTTTTTTTTATTCCACATGTAATTGAGGTCATACAATATGTGTCTTTCCCTGTCTGACTCATTTCATTTATCATAATGCCCTCAGAATCCATCCATGTTGTCCAAATACAGAATTTCCTTCCATTTTTATGGCCGAATAAGATTCCATGGTATATACATACCACATTTTCATTATCCATTCCTTGGACGAAGAACACTCAGACTGTAAAAATTGAACTGTACATTTTAAAAGGGGGACATAGTCTCTCGTGGTTCGTCTCCCTCTTTGATTCCCCCCCCTTCATTTTTCCCTTCCTTCTCCTAATGTCCTCCATTATATTCCTTATGTTCCACAAATAAGTGAAACCATATGATAATTGACTTTCTCTGCTTGACTTATTTCACATGATGGGTATTAAGGAGGGCACGTATTTCATGGAGCACTGGGTGTTATACACAAACAATGAATCATGGAACACTACATCAAAACCCAGTGATGTACTGTATGCTGACTAACATAACATAATAAATAAATAAATAAATAAATGGGGGAAATATATGTTATATGAAGTTATATCTCAGTAAAATTGTTGTAGAAAGGTAGGAAGGGAAGAAGTGAGGGAGGAAGGAAGGAAGGGAAAAAAACGGGATGGGAGGATAAAAAGAAAAATGGTACTGTACGTACATACTGAGAAGAAAAATGGATCAAGGAAATCAAATTTTAGGAAATTCTTAATATTTTCCACGAAGGGATCTTGTGGGTTGTTGAGGGAATCAATGTTCACTCCAAATGATGTGCTGGTAATCACATCCATGCTGTAGGCCCCAAAGATGCTGTGAGAGAAACAAAGACATGGATAATTAAAATCAGCACCTCTTTACTATCCTTATCCAGCACATGCAGCAAGAAGTGCATGTAGATACCCATGCCCAGGCAAGACAAGGGCCACACTTTCAGAACCACCTGTTGCATCATCTGAAGAGTCTATATACCATCACATTCCCTCATGTGGTGTTCATGAGGTGCCAGTGATACAGCTGGCCTTGTGCTAGGGTGATGGGGACACTAGAGCAAATTAGACACATTTCTGAGCTCAAGGAGCTCAGTCATGGAGGGATAGAGACCCAAAGTGTGACAAATTACAGTAATGTCTTTTGCGTATAGGCAGTAAAAGGTGGATAAGCACTATGTCTGAGCAGGACCAAGGGTGGGATAATTAACCCTTTCTCAGGGAGTCAAGAAAGGTGAAACTGATCTGGATTTTCTCTCACCACAGTATCTATGCTTAGAGCTGATTCCTCTTCAGCACATGATAAAACACCAACACCCTGTTCTGTGCTGCCAGGAACACC